GATCGGGGTCACGAGGGGGGCGAGATTGAAGCGATAGGGCGAGGATCACAGGGATGGTTGGGCGAGCGTGGCGGGGGGTGGAGGCGGGCGTAGATAGGGGGAGTCAGGTTGAATGTCAGAGTAAAGCTCTGGAGGCAGGAGCATGGCTCAATTGTGCACCCGTGTGTTATATATATTTACATACATACATATATATATATACGTATATGAAGATATATATATATATATATATACGCATCCATACACACACTCCGACAGGCATGCATACGCATATCTATACAATCGAACATACATACATGTGTAAATATATAACTACGAATCGATGCACAAGTGTATATGCATTTACATATATATATATATATACAAACAAGGCAAGATGAAATCCCTGCACGTGTTGCAGCACGCAAGTTTTGAAATCGTGGGCACACGTGTGTTTACATCATAATGTAGCGTGCAACGCCGTGTATACATCTTTTAGAATGCGTTATGTTAGCACGCCCTTACTATTTCTAACGTTGATACTGCTTTCTGAACTAAGCGCCATCATGTTTTTTCCTCCACAAGCCTTGAAAAATATGTTTGTTTTCGGCGCATCGTCTTTTCGCGTCTACTCGGCTGCCATGTTCGGCCGTGCCTGTTTCGATTTCGCGATCGTTGTGGTCGGCGTTATAATGTTACGCGGCTTGTTACATATGATAGTTGGCATGTAGTAGAACGTTTGAAAAAAGTGCTGCATCCACACGCGACCCCGCCCGCACTTCGGCACCGCTCATGCGGTTCGTTACCCCGTGGGAAGCCCCGCCCATAGCCCCAGCGGCGGCGCCCGAATGCGCCCATTCCGCACATCGGCACACCCCTCGCATTTTTTGTTGCCCTGTCATCGGGGGTCCCACCTATGGCCCCGGCGCCCCTGCCCCAACATCGGGCATCCCCCCGCGCGTTTCGTGGCCTCGCGCGGAGACCCAAAGCGCGAGCGCTTGCGTCCACATGGCCCCGCCGCACAATTCGGCGCGCGACCATGTGTTTCGTGACCGTATTCGGAGCTCCAGTCAAGGCCCTAGTGGCTGCGCCCACATGCGTCCCCGCCACGCACGTCGGCACCCTCCTCACACGTTTCGTGGCCCCATGGGGAACGCCGCCCACACCCCAGTGTCTGTGTCCACGGACGTTCCCGCCGCCGCGCATTTCGGCACCCCCTTTCGCGCGTTTCGTGGCCTCGCTGGGGGGCACCGACTGCGATATCAACAACAATCGCAGTGGCCACAATTGCGCATGGTTCGGCCCGTAGTTGAAACATCCTCGGCGCGTGAGGCGTGAGCAGCGCGAACTTATGTCGATGTGGTGATACCGCGCCGCCGCTATCCGTCAACCTGGAGGTTGTGCGCTCATTCCGCGGCTTGCCCTCGCCGACGAGGTTGCAATGTGTGCGCTTTTGATCAAGAAGCGGGCGATTACCCACATGTTATGCGCAAATCAATATTTTTCACGGCTACTGTGCGCTCTGCGCATGGTTTCTGGATTTGGGCTGTTGCGCCACAAATTTTGTTATTTTTTATAATATTTGTGTAGATTTCTCGTTTTATTTAAGTTTTCAGGTTTTTTTGTGAAATTCTGCGCGGGCAAGCAATGCAATGCTTGTTTTTGAAAAAAACCTGCGCGGGGCGGCAAAAATGCATCGCGCACTGCCTGCACCAGGCTGTTGGCCCTTGCAACGCTGGGAGCACCAATTGGCGGAAGGGGGGGTTTCTGCCGGAGCAAGGGGGGTTTCTGCCGGAGCAGGGGGGGTTTCTGCCGGAGTGGGGGGGTTTTTGCCGGAGCAGGGGGGGTTTTTGCCGGAGCTGGGGGGGGGTTCTGCCGGAGTTGGGCTGCCGGAGCTGGGGGGGTTTCTGCCGGAGCAAGGGGGGTTTCTGCCGGAGCAGGGGGGGTTTTTGCCGGAGTGAATTTCGGGTCCGATGGCGTCGCGCGCGGGCGTTCGCACTTTTCGGTGTTTTTCAAGAAACCATGTCCGTTTTGTTGGTTTTAAGGTTTTTGTTTAAAATTTAAAGGAAATCGATGGAAATCATTGTTTTTCGCGATTAATTCTGCGAATGCCAGGATATTTTGGCTCTTCTGTGCTTTCGAGTTAGATTTTCCATGAAATGAGCAATTATGTCAGCAATTTTCCATGAAATCAGCCAACCTGCAAGAATTTCGCTGCCTCTCACTCTCGTGTTCGCGAATCAATTCGCACGCGCGCGAACTCAGATATCGGGCGGAAATGGAGCCCGCGCTGAATGAGGCGGTCGAAGTCCAGGCGCATACAGGACTCTGCGCGCACGCGCGTTAAAGCTGATACTGAGGGAGCTCGCGCAGCAAAGCCCGCCACATATGTCAAACTACAGCAGATTGCGCCCAACCTGGCGCCTCGTGCTCAGAGCGGCCAGGCGGACGCGCAGTGCGAGCCGCGCAGTTGGCGGCGGGGCGATGCGCCAGGTCGGCGCCACCGAGGTGGTCGCCGCGCCATCGACGTTTCAAATGCATTGCCCCGCCCTACGGCCCCGCAGAGCGAGCGCATCTTCGCGAAGGTTCAATGGCGGGGCGTACACTGCGAATCGCGCGAGTGGCGCGCGCGCATTGGTAATCATGTTTGGGGCAGCACCTGGAACTTTTCTCCGCGCGTGCATGCGCGCTTTGCGCGGCAATGAACAGTGGTGGCGTCGCCGCAGCGACCGAAGAGTGTTGCGTATCGGCTGATTGCGGACCGCAGCGCCTGAGTCGTGGCTTGCGGGGGTGGGGGCTGGGCGAGGGTTGTTCGCGTTGGCACTCGGCGTGGGCGAATGTGGATGTCTCGGCCGAGCCGAAAGCGCAGCGGCTTGCGCGAGTTCGCGAGCTTGCGTCGGCGCCTCCGAAGCCGCCGCGGGCATTGTCGTGGGGCTGTTGCGGGGAGCCCGCTGACAGAGCGCCCCCGAACCATCGGAGTAGCCGCGCGCTTCAATGCCGAGCGCACTCGATGAATTGCCCCGATGGCCGAGCTCGCCAGGGATACATCGCGCGTATCCAGCCGACATGGTCGTTGAATCGGCTGGATTCCGCGCGTCGCTGCAGTTCGCGGGAGAAAGCGCGGGCTCGCGCGCGAGAAGCACGCGAGCGGTCTTGCGCCCGCTCGGCAGCGGAAGTCAGGAATAGTTTTTCGGATGCCCCAAGGTTTGCCCCGCTCCCCCCTGCGCGTTCGACCGAGCCTTGCACGGGCCAGCGTTCGCTCGATCGCCCGATGGACTGGCGCGCCATGGCCCCGAACTTAGATCGGCGGGCCCCCCTGGGCATCTGTTTGAGCCCCAGCGCACGCGCTCAACCGCGCCGCGCCCCGACCGCCCGATCCTGCGAACGCGCCCATTGCCCAACTATCCAATTTGACACTGCACCAAAGCCTCGGATTCGCTCTCTCCAACCGACAAGAAGGGACCGAGTGACTCACCTCTGAC